TTCCATGCTCCGATGGAGACATGGAAACGCTGCTGCTTTGCAGCTGCGTTACCCTGCTTCCTCGGGCTTGGACCCCTAATTAAGAGAACAGTACATGTTGCTGAGTTTTGTGTGTGTGTGTTTTTATTTATTTATTTTTATTTGTTTACTTTGGGGACTAAGTTGTTTAATGAGAGTCTTATGTCAAATGTATCACTGTCACTTGTTTTTTTACGTTATAAAATTAAACGAATACAATGTTTAAAAAGAATCATTAAAACTAACAGTCTCAGCTCCACTGCTCATCCCACAAACCCATGTTCCTCACAAATGTGGCTCCACTAAAAGGGGAAGTTGCCTAGAAGCATTGTTACAACAAAGAAATATTCTACCAAACACACATTTCCTCACTTTTTGAACTAACTCTATTTTTGGATGATATTTTTTCACTCACTGCAGAGCTGTTATTAATTCATATTTATATTCAGCACACTGTCGATTTGCCACAAACCGCTGGGTTCTGGGACAGACGATAAAATAAAAATGTGCAGAGCTCAGCTCAGCTGGAAAATCTGCTCATTCCACGATCATTTTGTTCCCCTAAAATCCAGAGCAGGTTCTCTTTTTCCAGATTTTTCTGTTTCAGCTGTTGCAGAAAGCAATCASTTCGGACAAATCAGCTGCAATAAACTGATTCAAAGCAGAACAATGGAGGCAACTGTCTTCCGCTCCTACACTGATGCTACAACCTTTTAGGAGAGCGAGGAGCTGAGGAAACGTGTGACTAAAATCAATCAAAACAAGCTAAAGAGCGAGGCTAGAAATCATKATAATAATGAAGTCTGCATTTGATTTAAAATCAGCCAAACTACCCAATTATACAATTGTACTAATCACAAAATCCCTAAAGTTGGTCTTCAGTAAGAAATTAGACTATTATGCAKAGAAGGATTTCACATTATTTTTCCTAAAACTTTCATACTGGATGCTCCAAAATAATAATTTAAAGCCTGAACTCAACAATTACATAAATGATGACAGCTCTGKTTTAATTTAACCTCTGGAGATGAGAAATATTTTATATAAAATCAAGAACATTGTGGACAACCCTGACCYTCCTCTTCATCAGACTGTCATAGAAAAACAGTGTCTTCAGTCGGAGGCTTCTTCAYTTTGGTTGTAATACAGACCAGTACAGAAGACATTCCTGCCCACAGCCATCAGCATCTGCAATAACTCTTTAGTTAAATGAGTTACAACAACATCTAATTTCCTAAAATCAATAAATTTCCTAAAAACAATAAAATATTTTTGAATTGAATTGAATTTATTATTGAGAATTTGTATTATTTCATCTTATTTTTACGATTTAATTCTATCATAGCTGACTCCGTTAAAGTCAGGCCTTAACCAACACCATGAATGAACTTATCCGAGAAGTAAAACATCTGAGGCAGGTGTGGAATATAATATAGATAATCTGATTGCACTGAAATGTGCCGCTGGGAAGCTTTGGGTCTTTCTGTTCATTTGGATGTGGACACGCACCACCAATCTTAAAAACACACCTCTTCTTTGTTATGACCTGCGAAAAATATGGTTATTGAATTGTGTGTCTGCTTCTCTGGCAGGAGCTCAAAGACAAGGAAAAACAATCTTTATTTCTGTGATAACCGACCTTTTTCTAATTCTCTGTCATTAAAACTAACGTGAGCTCGACACATCAGTTGTCACAATGATAATAATAATAATCCTTTCACACAGAGTGCTGCCACTTTTTATGTTTCAAGCCTGATTGATTTTATGGCAAACAAGAATTTAATCCCCCATTGTTAGTTTGAAGCCCAGGATTAAAACATTACCGTACACTGATTTTTTTTTAAGTAAAGAAAGCAACCTGTTYAGCAATGTTTTCATTCTTTAAACAGTGACGGGAGCTGGTTCCTGCAAGGTAAATGAGTTTTCTTGTTTTTAAAGGTACATGGCCATTATCCACCCCTTGAAGCCTCGTTTCTCCTCTTCCTCCACTAAAGTGGTGATTGCTGTGATTTGGATGGTGGCGTTCTCGCTGGCCTTCCCTCAGTGCTTCTACAGCGTGACCAGATTTTACTACCCCAGAACCGTGTGCATGGTYGACTGGCCTGATGATTATGGAGGAACGCATCAACTGAGGTAAAATGAGGAAAATCTTAGTATTTTTCTATATGTTCCTTCTTCTCATCTTTCTGTTTGTGCAGTTATCAGTTTGCTGTGATTCTCCTGATCTACTTGCTCCCTCTGCTGGTGATGTTGGTGACCTACAGTTTGGTTGGTCGCTCATTGTGGGGAGGGCACATCCCCGGAGAGGCGTCAGATCACTACCACACCCAGATAACAGCCAAAAGAAAGGTCCGTCTGTTTGTTACGGTTCTTATTAAAGCGAGAAAACAACTTTCTTCATCAGGTTTACCACAAAAACAAAAAATCTGATTCTTCATCCTGCAGGTGGTGAAGATGATGGTGGTTGTGGTGGTGACCTTTGCTCTCTGTTGGTTGCCCTACCATYTTTACTTCATTCTGGGCTCATTTAACAGAGACATTTATAAACAGCATTACATTCAGCAGGTTAGTCACAACCGGTTATTTTCATTTACTTTAATTATCTGATGTTTACTCATCGTTTGCTTCTCTCTCAGGTGTATCTGGCCATTTTTTGGTTGGCCATGAGTTCAACCATGTACAATCCAATTATTTACTGTTGCCTAAACCAAAGGTACAAACATTTCATTATTAAAATCACTGCAACAGCTAAAAAAAATGAACCGTTTACAAATTTAAACTTCCAGTAACTTGTTTCTGTGTCTCGTTTTCATAGGTTTCGTGCAGGTTTCCGTCACGCTTTCGCCTGGTGTCCCTTCATCAAAGTGTCAGAGGAGGACAGGATGGAGCTGCAGCACACAAATACCTTCAGAGTCACGGTGACGCGCAGCCGCCGCAGCGAGACGTCGTACACGCACGCTTCCATCAAAACTAACAACGTGGAGAGAGACGCATGCTTGCAGAGGAAAAAGCACCCGTCCGGCATTCACAACTCACATCTGCCAAAAACACAGATGATACAATCACCCCAGCTGCCAAGTATATAGAGAACAGCCCTGACTTTTGAGATGAAACCTGATGAGAATTTGAGAAGTCAGGAAGATGGCATAAATACTGCAGACGTTTTGGACAAAGAAAGCCCTGCAGCCCATAAGACTTAAAAACTTATTTAAGCAGAGGATTGTCCTGGAAGAAGGAGCTCTCTGGACTTTGCTACCAGTAACACTGGTTGTTAATGAGATATTTGCACAAATCTGACTGAGAGAATGAAGGTTTTTCTCATTTACTTTTGGTTCTTGTTGCAGCTGAAGCTCTTTCTGTCTGACAAATGACAAGAAACATGGCATCCCCTCAACAGACAGTTAATATACAGTATTCATCACAAGAAACAACTGAAAAAAAATTAAATAACAATCATGCACATCCATCTTTTAGATAATTGGTTCCCTATTTTTCACATGCATGTCTTTAGACTTCAGGGTAAAACTGAGGAACCTTGAAAAATTCACAAAGACAAGAGGACATCATTAAAACTAAAAACAGTGCTACCATCAAACCAGTTTTTCTTTGAATGTTTATAGCTGTGAAAATACTGTTTATATATTGAAGGAAAAAAAAGGAACAGACGATGAWACTGTATATTTTGCTGCTATGGAGAAAGTCTGAATTTGAAGCATTTTTGTTTTTAATCTCTGCTGCATCTCTGTCGGTTTTCTGGGTAATTTTCACATTTGAATTTTATCTAGAAATCCAAGGTTTTCTGAAACGCAGACTAAAACCATCCAGCATCGAGCCTTAACAGAGTCAGGTGTTTTCTGCTTTAACAGTCTGTCGGTGTTTGTGTAATTTAATGTATTAATGATATTTTCTTTTGTGTTGAAATTCAATAGTAACAATAAATGCTTGTTAGCTGGAAGTTTGGTTTTGTTACGATACAAAAAAAAGATGTTTCATCAGCTACAGACCTACAGTTTTTGTTCAATAAGAGAAAAAAAGTGACCATCAGCAAGGACAGGTCCTCTAACTTCTGTTGTTTCATTCTAAATTACAAAATAGATATAAAAAGAAATAATGGTCCTGATTTGGATGTATCTTTTACTCTTCAGTACTGATAGTTTAACATTTACGTCACACGATGTGCATTAATAACAGTTTATTATGCATTGTGATTTCACTTTATGGTTCACTTGCATTAGAGTTTAATATTTCACTTAAGGACCACTAAAAAGTAAAACTATAAACTGAACCTGTGCTGTTTTAAACACTGTAACTTGGGTGTGTTATGATTTTGACTTGTATGATAAAACACTGCAAAACATTTGTAGTTATCTGCAAAAATTTAATTTTTTTTAAATTGTGATGTTCATTCAGTCAGTATTGTTTTCTTATGAGTAGTAATAAAATGTGAGCGTTAAAATCAACAAAACACTTGTATTTACTTTATAAGCAGCACCAAACACATTGTTTTTTTTTTAAAGAAGTCCAGTCTGCTCCTATTGGTCGCCTCCAGTGGCCTTATCAGACACTGGTTAARCATTTTAATGTCACCAAATCCAAAAGCAATTAATTTTTACATTTTGTTTTACAAAGAAAAAATAACCAACTCTCAAACAGCAGCAAATCCCTTTTCTTATTGCTGGGCCAGATTTTGGTGTTATCAGAAAGTGTTTATGTTGAACCTTTTTAAGGGGCAATATACTATACCATAATAAAGTATCTATGTCACCCTTAGCCATTATTAAAATGCTGTTTTTAAGTTTAAATAGAAAATAAACTTATCTTCTCAACACTTCCTCTTCTAAACGCCTTGAAATTGGCCTTTGTCTCTTTAAGAAACTCTTTCCGCTTCTGTCTCACCCATTTCAGTGCGCGCGGGGGGAGTGGGGG